GATAGATAGATAGATAGATAGATAGATAGATAGATAGATAGATAGATTGATAGATGATAAATAATGATAGACAGACAGACAGACAGACTAGACTAGCCAGTCCCGGTTCCTGCAACCGTTCTTCATATGTTTAGTCTCCAGTCCCCTAATCCTCTTTCTTGCTCTTCTCTGCACTTTTTCTAGAGTCTCAACCTCTTTTTTATAAGTGTGGTGACCAAAACTGGATGCAGGACTCTAGGTGTGGCCTTACTAAGGATAGGTAGGTAGGTAGATAGATAGACATGATAAAGATGAATAGATAGAGATGAGAGATAGAGATAGAGATAGAGATAGAGAGATAGAGAGATAGAGAGATAGATAGATAGATAGATAGATAGATGGATGGATGGATGGATGGATGGATGGATGGATGGATGGATGGATAGGTAGGTAGGTAGGTAGGTAGGTAGATATGATATAGATTGATAGACAGACAGACAGACAGACAGACAGACAGACAGACAGAGACAGACAGACAGACAGACTAGATTAGACAGGCCCAGTTCCTGCAACCATCCATCGTATGTTTCAGCCTGCAATCCCCTCATCATCCTGGTTGCTCTTCTCTGCACTCTTTCCAGAGTCTCAGCATTTTAAAAATATATTTATATATTGCTGTGCTCTAATCACTCTAGGTTGGTGGGTGGGTGGGGGTGTTTAATCCCACCTTCACTCCCCCAGCACGAAAACACCCCAGGTATGTTTGAGACAAACACATGTCCCTCATTCGGAAAAAAAAACCAAAAAACACACCAAATGAAATAAAAATAAGCAAAAAAAAAAATGAGAATAACCTACAGCAGAGGTCTCCAAACTTGGCCACTTTAAGACTGGTGGACTTCCAACTCCCATGCTGGCTGGAGAATTCTGGGAGTTGAAGTCCCCCAGTCTTAAAAGTTCCAAAGTTGGACCCTCCTGGCCTAGGATCTCCGGCTTGAGCAGGAGGTTGGACTAGTTGACCTCCAAGGCCCCTACGCTATGCTGGCTGGGGAATTCTGGGAGTTGAAAGTCCACCAGTCTTAAAGTGGCCACGTTTGGAGACTCGTTGTTTGAGATCCTACCATCTGGAAGACGATATAGAGTGCTGAAAGCTAGGACAAGTAGATTTAAACATAGTTTTTACCCAAGTGCTGTGATCAGGTTAAATGCAGAGTTATGAATCTGGTGGTCTTAACATATATATATCTTGGTTGTATAGTTTTTAACTGTTAATTGTTTTAATTTGTTTTACATTGTTATTTGTATATGTCTTTTGGTGTTGTTTAGTTGTATGTTGTGAAAGAGCACCTTATTTCGTTGTTCTCAGGTTCTGAGTACAATGACAATAAATTTATCTTAAATCTTTGACCTAAAGTAATCAATACAGGAATGAATGAAAAAGAAAACAAACAAAGGGAGGATTTGATGGACCCACTCGCTGTCCGCTTTCTATTTTTTCCTCTTTGGTGTTCCTGGTCCTTTCCCTCCCTCCCGTGACCCCCTTCCTGCCCCCATATGGGAGCTGGGGGGGGGGGCAAAAGGACCCACCTTGGCGGTACATCCGGAGGGCATCGAGGAGACGGGATCCCCGGATCTGGGCTCTCAGCAGGGGCACCTCCAGCTGCATCAGGCCGGCCTCGCAGTGTTCCCCGTGCAAATCCAGCTCGCTGCTGCTCATCCGCTGGGCGTAAGGCCCCTTGGCATCTCCCCGCCAGCCGTTGGCCTTGGGCAGGAAGCAGTGGACGAAATGCAGCTTGGACTTCTTGAGGGTGTCGATCAGGGCGTCCTGAGGGGTGGGAGAAGACCACGGTCAGGTGGGGGGCAGGAGAGGCTACAGGGCTGTTGATGGGGTGGGCCGCTGGGGCCTGGCAGGGGAGGGACCCTCGCTAAGACTCTGCGGGGGGTCGGAAATCCCCCCAAAAACCTCCGAAAGACAAGCAGCCAGGGAAAGCTCTTCTGGGTGTTCAGCCAAGATTGCATTTCACACCTGGTAACAGTGTGGCAAGCTAGATGAACAATCCACTCAGCGCTTGCCAGAGAGAGCCATGGAGACAGCATAGCTAGTAGTCTCCAAGGGGAACTAATTCCCAAATAATAAAAAATCACGTATTCCGGGAGTGGAAGTCCATCCCTCTTAAAAAGAATGCAGAGTGGGGGGTTCTTCTGGGCCCAGGACCACCGGAGACTCACCACCTGCAGCTTGATCTGGATGCACATGGACTTCTTCTTCACCGCCGCCACCCCCATGGTGAAGGTCTTGCGCATGCTGGTGGCTCTGCGCAGGGCCAGCTGGGAGCCCCCCTCCAGCCCTGCGATGGAGCCCGAGAGCACCGTGGTGGCCCCGGCTCGGCCTGCAAAGAGGCTGCTGATGATCTTCCTAGAAAGGAGAAAGAAAGAGGAGAGAGAACGGCAGCCTTCCTTCACCCCCCAAGACGAATTAGCAGAATAGCACTGTTATAACCCTTCCTTCTTTCCTTCTCTCCTTCCCTTTCTCTTTTCCCTCTTCCTTCCTTCCTTCCTTCCTTCCTTCCTTCCTTCCTTCCTTCCTTTCCCTTCCTCCTCCTGCTCTCCTTCCTTCCATCATCTTCCCTCCTTTCTTCGCATTTCCCTTTGTCATTTTACTCATCTTTTTCCCTTTCCTATTTCCCTTTCTTCTTGTATTCATTTGTGGCTGCGTAGGGATTCTAGGCTGACACCCTTTTTGACTCCACCGCCTTGTTCTGCCACTCCTTCTCCTATAATTTTTTTCTTCTCCTCTTTTTCCTTTTAATGTTTTTCCTTCCTTCCTTCCGTCTCCTCCCTTCCTTCCTTTTCCTTCAACCTCCCGCTCTCCTACCTTCCATCTCCTTCCTTCCTTCCCATTTCCTTTTGTCATTTTACTCATCTTTTTTCCCTTTCCCATTTTCCTTCCTTCCCGCGTTCATTTGTGGCTACGTAGGAATTCTACGCTGACGCCCTTTTTGACTCCACCGCCTTGTTCTGCCACTCCTTCTCCTATAAT